GTGCCCGGCCATAAATAGCAATTTTTTAAATGAAAACTATATTTTCCAGAACAAAACAAAGTTAGAATGGTCTTGTTTTCATATTTGCAAATTTCTTTTTATCTGGCTTAATAGAATAAAACTGAATTCTCATATGTATTTCTGTATTCAGTCTGTTGCAATATGTTGTTTTGGTTGAAGTACATGAAGGAAATCCAGCTTCATACAGATGTATAGGTGGAAAAAGGAGGAGTGTTTTAGTAGCCTTCCCAGATGATTGTAGGTACTCTTCTTTGCAGTATGAAATTTGAGACCCTATAAATGACATCTTTATACTCATTTACATTAAAATCCATTGATCCGTGGAGCACTTTGAGTGAATCTTTTACCAGTGGGTTGATTTTGTAACATGATGCTTTGATCGTTCAGAAAATAGGTTCACTTAGTTTTGCAGATCTTCCACATGTTTTCCTATTTCTTCACAATACCAAAAGATAACGTTTATTATATCACCACTAATTTCATCAGAAAAGTCTTTAAGTATTGGGAAGCTGTCAAGCTCATGGTGGTGGATACAAGTTTTCTAAAGTTCTAATTTTTACTTGAAAGCTTGAATTTTATCATTGGCCACAAATACTTTTAGTTGTTTTCCTTGAAATGGCAGGCACATTTTGTTCATTTGTTCATTTTTTGAGAAAATGTCTGCCAGTACCAAAGTCTGAGTAACACATCAGTCAATCTTTCAAGTAAAAATGGTGTTCCATGAAAAAAGTGACCTCTTCCTTTGATTTTATCTCTTTATCCAGGAAGAGCTAGAATGCCCTAACTTAATGCTTCTCAAGCCAAGACAGAAAAGTCTTGGGCCTGGTCCAGGTAAGGGAGTAGAGATATTGGTTTTAATGGCTCCAGATGCCAGCCCCTGGGCCCTGAAGTGGCTGTGGTCTAGAGTTCACCTGGCCCTCTGTGGGGATGTGCACACTACAATGTGAATGCCACGTGAGTGGTCCCACCCTCCCTAAAGGTTCTGGTTTTGCTCAGAGGGTGAAGCAAAATTGTCTTGGAGCTTTTTCGAACAGATCCAAAATCTGCTCAGAAAATCCTCAGAACTTTTCTTCCTCTTCCCCATCTTTTGGCTAAGGCTGGACCTGTATCCTCAGAGGCTTTGAAATTTAACACATTGAGTGCCACACTAGGAAAAAAATTTTTTCCTTGGGGCCACGGTGTTTTATTACAAAAATAGAATAAAAACTTCAAAAACAAAATGATCCTTTCTAATTTAATGTAAAATTTGTTATTTTTTATTGTTTTCTGTGTGTGAGTTATATGCAACTTGAAAAATAGTTCACGCAGCTCCCGAAGTGAAGAGATGTGTGAGTTATATATGCTGCACGAAGCCCCAGGCTCAAAACTAGCCTGAGTTAAATACAACTCACTTGGCGGTTAATGTGTTAAACTGAAGTGAGCAGGAACAATCAGTTGCTGCCCAGGGCTGCTGGGTTTAAGAATCAGTTCCATCAGCCTTTGTGATGATGAAGAAAATGGTCAGGTGTTTCATTCCTTTGATAAACATTTACTGTTGTGTTCTTAATGTGGGAATGCTATGCCAGGTGCTAAAAATACAGCTTGAGAAGTTAGTTGAAAGTCAGGGTTGACTGACTCGTCAGGGAATAAGGGGGTCACGATTGTTAGAATTTGGAAAATGGCAGGAGATAGTAGTCAAAGGGAACTCTGAACCACAAGTTTTCCTCTGTCAAAGCCAAAATTTGAAGAAACAACGGTATTACTGACTAAATATAGCCTCTCCAGGGCTTGGGATTTTCACCAACCTCTGGGAGTTAAAGCAGAGATGAAAATGTCAGAGAGAAAAGTTCCCCTCTCCACAAAACACTGTGCCCAGGGGCAGGCATCAGGACCTAGGGTCAAGACATCAGCTTGGGGTTTGTCCCCTCGAACTTCCTGGCCCTGAGAGAAGGACTGAAGTATACTAAACTCAGAGGGGACAATGGATAAGCTATCTCCAGTGTAGACTTACTAAGAACAGAACAGCCAAGGTGCCTGGGTAATAGCTCGAGTGCCTACTGTCTGAATCCCGTTGTATCCGTTATGTCACTTAATCCTATGGGCAACTTTATGCAATGTAGCTTTTCAGGCCTTGTGTTTCTTCCTTTAATTGGGAAGACAGCCTGTCCTGTAAAGTCACTTCCATTTAATGGCTATTGTCATTTATTTTTGTACCAGTTTGGCTCTAGGGATAATCACATTATTCCCATTGATGGGGGGGTGCATCTCATTGTAATCCCTGAAGAAGCAGTCTTCCACTCTTCCACCCTTTAGATTGGAACCATTCTGGTGGAGGTCCAGGATGGAGAGATGGGCCTTTTGCTGTAGGAAGCAATAATTCCAAGCAGTGTCGTCCCAAGCTGCCTGCCAGCTCTGTCACAATGGGGACACCTAACAAATCTGATTTAGCTGCTACAAGCCCAGCTGAGCCTGTGCCCTGAGCTGGGCCCTGTGCTGCCCTGTGAGGCATCCAGACAGGAATCAGACCTGATGCTTGCCTTCTAGGAACACAGCCTAGCAGAAGAGACCCAAGTTGCGGATAAGTAAATATTAATAGAAAGCCCAAGTACTGTAACCAAGGTATACTGTACTAGAGGGATATGGGGGAGGAGAGGTGAATTAAAAGAGGGACTCTCCAAGAGAAAGCCTGGAGGAGGATGGATTTAAATTGGGCTTTTGAGACCTGCTCAGCTACTTATTAGTAAGCGGGAGAAGGAAGGAGGTTTTAAGGAGAGGACCCCCATTAGCAAAAGCATGAGGTAGGAAAGTACAGAGAATATTGGGAACTTAAGGAATGACTTCATGGGGTTGAGGGCAGAGATTGAGATTTCTAACAATTCACCTTAGATTCATCACATGTGAGAGACTCTCACATTCTTGCAAAATATAGAACCATTTATTGTTTCCCATCGCTCCCATCATGTTAATAATTAATACCATATATTGAGCAGTGTATATGTGCCTGGCACTGGACTAGGTGCTTTATTGTATGTAATTCTCACAGCCGGGCCGGGCACAGTGGCTCACATCTGTAATGCTAGTACTCAGAGAGGCCAAAGCGGGAGGATCACTTGAGGTTAGAAGTTCAAGACCAGCCTCAGCAAGAGCGAGACCCCATCTCTACTAAAAATAGAAAGAAATTAGCCAGGCAACTAAAATAGAAAAAAAAATTAGCTGGGCATGGTGGCACATGCCTGTAGTCCCAGCTACTTGGGAGGCTGAGGCAGAAGGATCACTTGAGCCCCCAGGAGTTTGAGGTTGCTGTGAGCTAGGCTGATACCATGGCACTCTAGCCCGGACAACAGAGCAAGACTCTGTCTCAAAAAAAATAAAAAACAATAATTCTCACAGCCAACCCTGCAAGTTAGGACTTAATCCCATTTTACAGATGAGCAAACAGGGGGTAAGTAGAACTTGCCCAGCATCATACAACTGGTAAGCGGTGGAGGCCCCGGTTAATGGCAAACACAGTATTCCCACTGTGCCCCGGCGCCTTCCCACAAGTGCTTTGGCACTAAGTAGAATCACATTAGTCACATGGTTAACTTAACAGAATTGTGTATTTACTTTTAAAATAAAACAAAAAACACTTATACATTGCCTTATACATTTGAATTCTTGGTCATACGTACAAAACCGTATATTGTCAACCCTCTGCATCTGTGGATTCAACCAATTGTGGATAGAAAATACTCATTAAAAAAATGGATGGCTGCATCTATACTGAGCATGTACAAGCTTCTTTTCTTGTTATTCCCTAAAAAATACAGTAAAACAACTATTTACATAGCATTTACATTATATTAAATATTATAAGCAATCTAGAGATTATGAGAATATGTACATAGGTTATGTGCAAATATTATACCATTTTATATCACAGACTTGAACATTTGCAGATTTTGGTATCCATGGGGGGTCCTGGAACCAATCTCCCATAGGTACCAAGGGATGACTGTGTATTGTACTTTATAGACCATATAAAGAATTTCAAGAATAGTTTTACTCATACAAGATTTTCAGCTTATGTAATGACTTAGAAACCTGGCACTCATGTGAAATAAAACTGTGTAGTAAAATTACATGTCCTGGTGTTTGCCTTAAGAATATGTTCACCAATGTGACAGGGAAAGGGACTTGGACATTGGCCTCACCTCCTCTACCTAGAGTTTCTTTTATGGCATCTTGTAGTGGTGGAAAGTCTCCTGGCTACACTCGTCAGAAAGATTTCCTTTGCCTTAGTTTCCCTGAACAACATCCTTCTCTATCAACTTTCCACCCCTTTGCATAAGAAGTTACTCACCATCCACAGGTTCCTTTTGCAGTGGCCATTTAGCAACTACCTTGCTTCATTGAAATGTTCCCTTGGCAGAGACTAATTTAGGCAGTATCTTTTGTGAGTTGCACATGTAAAATTTCTATCTCCCTAGTATTCTTTTCTGAGTTCCTTGTACTTCCAAGTACTCCAAAATGTTTCATTATGCTCCTGGTACTACCACTGGGTTCCTTTCTTTTTCAAGAAACCAGGGACCCAGGTCAGTTGTAATTATACATTACAGATTTAAGGATACCCTGGTGCCAGCTCATTGTGAGAAGGTGATTTCATGCAAGAAAGATGATGGCGTTGTTTTGTTGGTAGAATGAGGGATGATACCCTTATTATTCCTTTAGTCTTCCACAAGCACATGTTACCTAGCAGTGGGTAAGTTTGGACGGTATGTCAGTTAACTATTGTTGCATAACAAACCACCCCAAAACCTAGTGGCTTAAAACAGCACCATTTACTATTTCTCATGAGTCCATTGCTTGACTGGGTGTTTCTGCTGATTGAGCAGGCTTGGCTGATCTCAGTGGGGCTCACTCACATATTTCTGATCAGCAGGCTGATCAACTGGGAAAACTGTGCTTTCTCCACACGTCTCTCACGTCTCTCCGCAGCTAGCCTGGTCAGGCTTTCATGGCATGGCAGAGGTGCAAGAGTGAGCAAGCCCAGCCATGCAAGGAAGCAAGTGGAAATGCATACACACTTTTTAAGTTTATGGCTGGCATCTGGTTTCCTAACATCCCATTGGCCAAAGAAAGTGACATAGCCAAGCCCAGTGTCAGAGGGGGAGGGAATACAAAGTTGCAAGATATAGGAAAGCTGTTAACTGAGGACACTAAAGCAATCAGTCTTCTAGTGAGGGCCCTTTAGTGTGAAAGAAAAAACTTATTGGCTTATATTTCTGGGTCAAGTTTGTCCTAGAAGGGAAAAAAAAGCCAAAGTAATGACTGTGTATTGGGCCCATGCTATGGGCATGCACAGGGACAGGCACTATACCTGCTTATGCAGTGATCCTCACAACAACTCTGCAAGATAGGTAGGAATTGGAACTCAGAGAAGTTAAATAACTTGCTCAAGGTCATCCAGCTAATACATGGTCAGGCAGGGATTAGAATGTATATCTGTCTGACCCCAAAGCCCAGGATCTCCTCACCATACTCACTGCTTCTCAAGAGTACCAACCAGAACCTTACCTTCCCCCGACACAATTTTCAATAGAGGTGATGCTTTTTGACTGTACACACCCCTCCAAATTGTTGCTGTGACCCTAAAGGAATTGTGCAGCTCTGCAGAAAACCCACATGTTCTCCTAAACTCTCCGTTGTCCGAAAGCATTCTTTCCTTCCAGATGGGGATTGATCTGTAGGCTGCACAAGCAGCCCAAGAATTGTGGCCCCTCCCAGACATGCCAGAGAGGGAAAGACCGTCTTCTCTTTAACCTTTAAGATTTGGGGACACCAGGGCATTAGGATGTTTGAGCATGAGCTTTGGAGTTAGGCTCACTGGAGTTCAACCTCTATAACCTTGGGCAACTCATTTAACTTCTCAAAATCTGTTTCTTCATCTAAAAAAAAAGCGGGAATAAGAACACCTCATTTGCAGAGCTGTTACAAGGACTAAAATTATGTATGTAAAGTGCCTAACCCAGTGCCTGGCACGTAATAAGTGGCATTACTAATACTGTTACCATTATTTCTAAGAAGAGCCTTTCCCATCCTGGGAAACCCTGTTTCTGTCTATTGGGCAGGTCCCTCTCGCCTCCAGCCACTCTATGCAGACTTGCTGCCTGCTATGTCACCAGGAACGCAAAGGCTGGGAAGAAGGCTCTTCTCAAAATGGACTGGTGTTGCAGGGTGAGAAGCTGCCCCCTGACTTCATGCCAAAGCTCGTCAAGAATCTCCTAGGCGAGATGCCTTTATGGGTCTGCCAGAGTTGCCGAAAGAGCATGGAGGAAGATGAAAGGCAGACAGGTCGAGAACATGCAGTGGCGGTAGGTAACCACTGAAAGGGGTCCCTGAATGCAAGAGGGCTGCCTCCCCAGAGAAGTCAGCCTGCTCCTTCCCTGCCCTCAGGTGGCTCTCCTCAGGTAGCCCCTACGCCCAGGCACTGAGGCTGCTGGGCTGCACTGACACAGCATTAGCAGCTTGGGTTCAGATTTGGGGGAAGAAGGGAGAAACTTCTGGCAGCCCATTGGCCCCTCTGGATAGTTTCTGCAGAGGATGAGGGCCTGTTCGTAGGTACTGGTAGATGGTGGTCCTCCCCCTTTGTGTGAGCCTGCTGCCTTCAGCTCTGTGGCAGCCTTGTCGTCCCCTCCAGACCCTTTCTTTTGCCCAGGATCAGTTTAGCTTCCAGGCTCCTGACTGAAAGGCCCTTCCTCTCACTGGCAGCTCTTGCTATTCCCCACAGTTCACAGGCAGTCTGCTCCTGCCGCAGTCTCTGCACACTTCGTGTAGCTGGGAGCGTCACAGCCCCTGCCTGGTCCTCCTTTGTCCCTGACCTTGAGCTGTGCTGATTGTTCTGGCCGTGGCACAGGGGCCTGGAGGAGGAGGGCCTCCTTTGGGGTAAGCTCAGGCAGCAGAGGGTCAGCTCTGATGTTTGCATTTTGACCATGAACCTTTTTCTTTCCCCTTCTCCAGATCTCCTTGTCACATACATCCTGCAAATCGCAGTCTTGTGGGGGTGACTCTCATTCATCCTCGTCTTCCTCTTCATCGTCCTCGTCCTCGTCCTCCTCCTCCTGCCATGGGAACTCAGGGGACTGGGATCCCAGCTCCTTCCTGTCAGCACATAAGCTCTCGGGCCTCTGGAACTCCCCACACTCCAGTGGGGCCATGCCAGGCAGCTCACTTGGGAGTCCTCCTACCATCCCCGGTGAGTCTCCGAGCTCGGGAGAGAGCCAGGCCCTGTAAATGTAGACAGCTGTGTTTTCATATCCATTTTGTTCAAACAAATCATACGCTCAGTTACTAAAATAAGTAAAAGTGGAGCTGTTCTCATGGAAGCAGGGGCAGCCTGGACACTATAGAACTCCTTTCCTCAAGACTCTGAACAATAATACTGCCGGTAGAGAAAAATTTACCCCTCAAAGCTGTTACTGGCTCTCACAGTTGTTCCCATTGGATCCTAGAGGGGACCTGGTGAGCACTGTCTGAGTAGGAAGTGGCATCTGGGAGGACCCTCAGGGAAGTAGGACTTAGATCACCTGACATCTGACCCCTGCAACACCACAGAGGACCTAAGTGACCTTGTCTTTCTAGGCCTTGATTTCCCTACCTGAGGGATAGACATAAAAGCACTGTACTTATGTCTACAAGAGATTGGCAGTTCAAGCTGTGATGATATTAACCCATTTAGCAGCTGTATAAGTCTTCTTTAGACTCAGATAATTCTCAGAGACTCAGAGAAAAAACTTGTGGGCTATTGGTTTATTATGTAAATATGATTTACTGTCATACTTCTAAATGGAGGGGCTGAGTTCTTCAAAGTGGTGCTGCCCCCAGAATTATGAAAGTGGAACAGTACGTAACTCCATTTATCTTGGTACAGAAGCTAGAGAGCGTTGTCACAGCCTTTTCCCGCTTCTCTGAAATCTGGGCCCCCAGGAGTCTGGCATACCCTGGGCTGCTTTGGTCCCCATGGCCCAGAGGCAGAGCCTTGGCCTGCTGCTCCTTGGCTTCTGCAGACCCGCGCCAGGCCTCAGGAACACCTCTGAGCAGGCAGAACGCACAGCCCTGTTCATGTCAGACTCCATCACCCACACACCTGCCTCTCACATCATTCTGCCTTTCCCCAGGTGACCAGAGATTGATAACTTATAAATGTCACATAAGGAGACTAAAAAAAATTTTGCTGATATTTTAATATGTAAGTGTATTGACTCATATATATGCCACATCTTTCTCCAGCTAATATTAAAGTTATGGATCAGCTTGTGAGGTCCTTAAGAATCTAGGTTTCCAGTTTTTTTGTGCTAAAGTTTTGTTTAGGTATTGTGCCACTTTGGGTGGATCCTCAAATCCAGATGCTCCACTGGTCACCATAGAATAGGATACATTTAGGACCAGAGAAATTGTTAGGTTAGGAGAAATTGGTCAAAGTATGTCATCTTTACCGGTAAATTGACAAGGGTAATGAATAACGTCTACTTAGAGTGAGGGAAAAAAACAGCAGAGGTGTGGAGCCTTTGGGGGCCAGCATTTGTGGTGCTTTCTCCCTTGGGCCTGGGCTCTCCTCGAGCCTGTCCAGCCAAGCTGCTGCCCACAGAATCCTCTCCAGCTCCAGGGTCCCCTGTGCCGAGAGTCTGCCCTCTGGTCACAGCAAGTAGGATGTGGTGGCAGTCAGCCTCTGGGCTTTCCTTCCCAGGTCTGGGCTCCCATTCTGACCCCTTTCTCCTCCCTCCACCCACAGGTGAGGCTTTCCCCATCTTGGAGCACCACCAGCACTCAGACCTCACTGCTCCCCCTAACAGCCCCACCGGCCACCACCCACAGCCAGCATCTCTGATCCCATCTCACCCTGGCTCCTTTGGCTCCCTACCCCACCCACACCTGCTGCCTGCCACCCCGGCAGCACCTTTCCCTGCCCAGGCTTCAGAGTGCCCCGTTGCTGCCGCTGCCCCCCACACCCCAGGGCCGTGTCAGAGCCCCCACCTGCCCTCCACCAGCATGCCGCTCCTGAAGATGCCTCCGCCATTCTCAGGGTGCAGCCACCCCTGCAGCGGGCACTGCGGTGGGCACTGCAGCGGGCCTCTCCTCCCGCCACCGAGCTCTCAGCCACTCCCTAGCACTCACAGGTAAGTCCCAGCATGAAGGGCAAACTCCCTGCTCACTTGAACTTAGAGTTTTCGAAAACTTTAATGAGGATAACTTTGGGGTGTAAAGTAAAAGATAGACTATGGTTTTTGGGGGCTAGAGTGCAGTGGCGTCATCATAACTCACTGCAACTTCAAGCTCCTGGGCTCAAGCGATCCTCCTGCCTCAGTCTCCCAAAATGCTAGCATTACAGACATAAGCCACCACACCTGGCTTAGACTCTGGTTTTTTAAATTGTTTTTCCAATTATGAACAAAGTATGTATTTACTGTTTTTTTAAAAAACTTGGAACAATTAAGAATGTATAAAGAAAAAAACGTTCTCACAACCTAAAGATAAATTTCTACCACTGTGATATATTTTCTTCTTGATATTTCTGTATATAAATGACATAATTAGGTCCTTATTTGGCATACTTTTTCGTGTAGTAATGTTTTAACATTACATCATTTCCCCAGTAAAAATTCTTTGAAAAACTTTTCAATAGCCAAGTAATGTCTTACTGTATAGCTCTAGCATAATTTACTTTATCATTCCCCTATTCCTGGACATTGAGGCATTTCCAGTTTTCTAACCATGACAAATGAGGATGTAATAAGCATCCTTGCACCAGATTCTTTTTGAATGAGTAACTATGTCCTTTAGGGAGATTCCTAGGAGTAACTCTAAGTGCTGAGAAAGGTTATATTCATGTATGTTTGAAAGAATTCTTTGGAGAAGATCAATGTATATTTTTATATTACAAATCCGACCTGTGTTTATTATACATTTACATCTTCCCATTCTAGAATCCCACTGCCCTAAAGCAACCACTCTTGGCAGTTTTTTTCCCTCATGTGTCATTACACTCCGTGTTGATGGTGTCTATGCAGTTTACACCCTCTGGTTTTCACTTAGCATTACCTTGTCAGCACGTTATATTCCCGTGTGGTGTTCTGAGCCCACAGCTTTAAAGGCTGGAGAACATTGAACATAGTTCACTGTACTCCAGTTGTTGAACATTTAGTCATTCCAATATTTTAACATTATAAATAACATCTCTAAAGATGTCTGTGCTTAAAGCTTTTTTCTTCTTTTGGATTTTACTCCTTGAAACAGATTCCTCAGAATGAAAAAAAGTTCTCAGTTAAAGGGTGTTTGGTTTTTTGGTTTTTAAAGCTTTTTTCTTCTTTTGGATTTTACTCCTTGAAACAGATTCCTCAGAATGGAAAAAAGTTCTCAGTTAAAGGGTGTTTGGTTTTTTGGTTTTGGGGGTTTTTTTTTTTTTTTTGGAGTAGTGCTTTCCGAATTGATGTAACTACCATCAGTGAGTGCTAGTTTTTCCATATTCTCAGGAGCACTGAGTATTTTAATTTTTCTAAAATCAATTTCGCTAATGTAATAGATAAAGAACAGCCGACTTGGAATAAACTTCTATAAGCACCACTGATGATGATTCCTGCCGCTCTCCTTTTTTTCAATCCTTGCCATGGCTCAGTGTCCTTTCTAACAGCAGAGAAGGGCTGTGTTGGACTGGGCGTCCACATGGCTCCTTGAGCACTGTCCTTGCTCTCAGCTCCCCTGTGCCCTGGAGCCTCAGCATTGGGACCAGCCCCTGCAGCACTTCAGCTGCTGATGGCCCAGCTGAGGGCTGTGGTTCTTCCCAGCTCCAATTCTTGGACCTTTCAGGCCCATGTCTCATTCTGACCCTGGCAAAATATTCTGTGTAACAAGCTGCCCTTAGTGCTTCCCAAAGTCCAGAGGCAGAGTAGTACAATGAGCTTTGCACACAGAGAGACATGGGTTTGAGTCCTGGTCACCTGTTGAGCAGAGCAGTCAAGCACCCTGAGCCTCAGTCTCCAGCACTGCAAAATGGGGGCAATGACACTTATATTTTGCAGGACTTGGGATGGTCAGAAATAACATGCTGAATGCAGTACCTGTAGCTTTTATAGTCTGTGGCCCAGAAGACACTTGCTTTTTCTCAGCTCAGTGCCCTGTGGTTAAGGCAGCTCCACTCACTGCTGCAGAGCATTACTTGGTCATAAGGACTTTAGAAAGTGAAAGGAGACTGACGTCATTGACCCCCTGAATGTTCCAGGGGAGCCATCAGCCCACTGATCAGTTCACACCTGCTAATTGAGCACCTGTTGTGTGCATGGTTGTTATGCTATACCCTGAAACCCCAAAATAGAAGCAACAGTTCCTGCCTGAACAAACAGTAAACAGGGGGATGGAGAGAGGTGTACACAGTGCCCTGAGAAGAACATGCGGTGGGCATAAGCAGGGGAGGCATGGGGAAACCTTTCCAGAAGAGCAGCATTTGCGGTTGTGGTGGGCCCTGTTATTGTGAGAGGTGCTAATGTGACTGCCTCAGACCTCTGTGGAGTGAGGCAGGTGGCAGGTAGTTAGGGTGGCAGATGGATGCTTCATGGACTCCTGCTGTGACCTGCTCCTGCATCACCCTGCCTCACTTCCGGGCCTCTCTCCCTATCAGCAGAGACCCTGGGTGCAAGGGGCACAAGTTTGCACACAGTGGCCTGGCCTGCCAGCTGCCCCAGCCCTGCGAGGCAGATGAGGGGCTGGGTGAGGAAGAGGATAGCAGCTCCGAGCGAAGCTCCTGCACCTCGTCCTCCACCCACCAGAGAGACGGGAAGTTCTGCGACTGCTGCTACTGTGAGTTCTTCGGCCACAATGCGGTGAGTGAGCCTGCCAGGCCAGAGAGGGCTGGGGGCCAGCCAAGGTGAGCAGAAGGAGTGCCCTGCTCCCCCTCAGAGACCTCTTGCTCATGGTGCTAATCACCGCACTGGGACCGTGTGAGTCCTCGCACCTGCATCCGCTCGCCTGCTCCTCACAGCACATTTGTGAGGTAGGGGATTTTTTAACATTTTTCTACCTTTGCTCTTCTTGTGGTTTCTCTTAAGATTGACTTTTTTTCCTTAGGCAAAAGGAAAGGAAGTGGCAGAGAGAAAGCTATGATTCTGATGAGTATGTATACGTGTGTAATCCCAGAGAAGTGAACGCTTGGGCGTGATGAAGGCAGAGTGGAAGCAAAAAGGCTCTCAGTTCCCCAAGTGTGACAGCCAGCCGAGGGACAGGCCGTGAGCACAGACGGCGCCAGGAAGGAGGCTCAGATCAGAGTACATGCTGTCTCTGGACAGGGGGAGAAAGCAGTTCAGAAGTCTCATAAGGTGAAGAGGAAAGGATTGCTGGTTAGGGTAGAGCAGTTGAGGATAGAAGAAATGAAAGTAATTAAGTTGCTAGTCACCTTTGAGCTAGGGGTTATTATCCTCGTTTTAGAGATGACAAAATTGAGGCTCACAAAGACTCAGTGACTCGCCCAAGGTCATACAGCTTCCCAGTGCCGAGGCCCAGGCTCAAACTTGCTTTCCTGGCTCCCCAGTCAGTGTTTGCCCAGCTCTGCCCTGTTCCCTCCCATTCCCTTCACCCACCAGTTCAGAGCCTGGCTGAGGGTGAAGCCATTTGGCCTTGGTGGCTGATGGTAGAGAGAACAGTTGTCTCGCTTCTCACCACATACTTGGTGCCAGCGGGTGGGAGTGCTATGGGCCTCCCAGGCCCAGGGTGTAATGTCAGCACCTCCCCCTCCCCCAGCCACCCGCTGCCCCGACGAGTCGGAATTATACCGAGATCCGGGAGAAGCTCCGCTCAAGGCTGACCAGGCGGAAAGAGGAGCTGCCCATGAAGGGGGGCGCCCTGGGCGGGATCCCTGGGGAGCCCGCCGTGGACCACCGAGATGTGGATGAGCTGCTGGAATTCATCAACAGCACGGAGCCCAAAGTCCCCAACAGCGCCAGGGCCGCCAAGCGGGCCCGGCACAAGCTGAAAAAGAAGGTGGGTGTGGGGGGGAGCCCAGCTCTGCCACCTCTCCTCCCTGAGGAATCCCTCACCCCAAACCCCAAGACTTCTGGGGCGTGAATGGTGCTGGCTGTCAAAGTCCTCAGCTTGGCTCACTGTTCTGGGAAGGTCTGAAGGCGTTTGGGAGGCGTCAGGGTCAGGGAGCCTGGGGCACATGATTGGAGGAAAAACGTATCCTGGCCTCAGAAGCTGCTTGCTGGATTCCTCCAAGACAAGGACTTGCTTCAGTTGGTCATTTATTCATTCAGCAGATGCTTCTACAAGTACTGGCAGCCAAAGTATGACGCAGTTAAGTTCTCACCCAGGAGAAGCTCAGTCCAGTGGGGAGAGTGACACAAAACCGGACAAGCACGTTAGCATGTGACAGGTACCAAGATGAGGGAAGTCCCACATCCTGCCTGGAAATGGCTTTACAAGAGGCTGACTTGTGAGCTGAGACACAGGGAGTGAGTACAGATTCATCAGGAGGGTCCTCCTGCCAGCGGGCACAGCACATTCCCCAGCAGCTTGATGCAGCAAAACTGAGAACAGAAGAGTGGCAGGATGCACAGTGGGGTTGAGGGAGGGCCTCAGAGGCCTGCTGAAGAGCTTGGCTTTATCCTACAGGTAAGGAGAAGTCACTGGAGGGTTGTAATCAAAGAATGTACTCGGTCACATCTGTATTCTAAGACAGATGGCACTGTGGAAGGTAGACTGGAGGGGTGATACTTGAGGCAGGAAAACCTTGAGTTTGATACCTTAGGCAGGAAGTGATGGGAGAGATGATTGATGGTGGGGCCGGAGCAGAAGAGAGAGATTTTCAGAGGACGTGGAAGTGACGAGCCTTGGTGATCTGATGACAGAACAGGGAGATGGAGTCAGGGATGTGTCCCAGGTGTTGCTTAAAGACCAGAAGATGGTGGAGCCTTTCCCTGAGCCAGGATGGGATTTGCAGAAGACAGTGAACTCAGTTGAGGCATGTTGACTCAGAGGTTCCCATGAGACATGCAAGTGGAGATGGAGGTGTGGGGCTAGCAGTTGCAGCACAGAGATAGAATTGAAGCCATGGGAATGAACCATCGGGGCTGAGGATAGAACCCAGCAAGCTGTTTCCCAGCAGTCCTGCTGCCAAATGAGCCCCAGGGCTTGATAGCTTGTCCCCTGTGGCTTCGTTACCTCTTCGCCTGCCTACCCCCAGCTGCATCTGCACAGTGACACAGCATCCGAAGAGATTTGTGTTTAACAACCAGCTAGCTCCAGTTCCTGGGTGGTCAAACAGCCCTAGTGCTCTGGAAAGCAGAAGTGATTCTCCGTCTTTTTCCAGCCCAGTCGACAACCAGGATCCTTCTCCTGCAGCCTAAAGTAGTGAGCCAAGGGGTCGCACCACTGCCTTCAGAAAATGATCAGCACTTTCTTTCTCCTGTCTAGAGTTGCCCAGCCAGAGTGTTGAGTGGGCTGCAGGAGTCTCTCTGGCCTTTCCTGGCCTCTCAGGGCATTGATTCCCAATTAGGTCCCCAGAGAGCACACTCAGCAGTTCCCAGGGCTGATGTGCTTTTCATAAATCCGTGTGCTCAGACATCCCTTCTCCTTTACCGATAATGCTGTCTTCTGTCTCCTTTTCTTCCTGACAAACTTGCCCTCCAAGGTCAGTTCAGCTGTTGCCTCCTTTGCAGATGGTGTTGGCTAACTTCTTCCCCTGTGCTCCCACCACACCTCGCATGTCTCTCCGGCTTGCCATTGACCACACTGTGCTCACCCATCCCACAGCTTGCTGCACAGCTCCTGTGTGCCAGGCCCAGGCTAGAGGCCAGGGCACAGATGGAATCAGATAGCCCTGGCTTTCCAGACTTAGTCGTGGGGCTGTGTGCAGGACAGACATACACAGGCAGTTTCAGTGTCCTGTGATAGGTGATTATGGTCACTATCTATTTATACAGCAGCCTCTCCTCCCTAATGTCCTTCTACCTCCCGGACTTAACCACAATCTTACTGTCCACCAAACCCAGCTTCCCCCAGTAGCTGTCCAGTGATGACTGCTCATGCTCTCCCACCTCAAGAGGTAGATAGAGCCATATATCTTTCTGCTCCCTTATCCCACTGCCAGACTGCGACTCTCTTAGCTTTGTGTAAAAACCCCTACTCTGTCGTCTGCCACCTCCTGGCCACTCCTTTGTACCCACTGAAGACTGTCGCCTGCCCCTTTCTCTTTTTCCCAGCCAGCCCCTCATTCCCTCGCTTGAACTGAGGAAGCATTGCTAAGTATAGGTAAGAGAACGCACAAATTGACATAATGCTTTCTCTTTCTTCCTTGCCCCATTGCCCTTCCTTCACACCCACTTAAAAACTGCATCCCTGGTTTCTACCCCAGCCTGCCTCCCCCTATACATCTCGTGGGAAGCACATGATTGAATCTGCAGCACCCGGCCTTGTGAGCCCCCGCCTTGCCTGGCAGGCCTCATCACCTCCACTCACCACAGCCCCTTTGTCAGCCCTCCATTCTTCTCAAACCTCCAGGCCTTCCCAGCCCCATCTGATTTTTTGGCAAATAACCATACTTCCAGTTTCAATGAAGGAAAAGAAGCCATTGGACAGACATTCTTTTATTCTTCTTTTCTTTCCTTTTCTTTTCTTTTCTTTTCTTTTCTTTTCTTTTCTTTTCTTTTTCTCTCTCCTCTCTTCTCTTTTCTTTCTTTTCTTCTTTTCTTTTCTTTTCTTCCTTTCCTTTCCTTTCCTTTTCTTTTCTTTCTTTTCTTTTCTTCTTTTTTTTCTTCTTTTTTTTTTTGAGATAGCCTCACTCTATCACCAGGCTAGAGTGCAGTGGCATCGTCATAGCTCACTGCAACCTCAAACTCCTGGGCTCAAGCGATCCTCTTGCCTCAGCCTCCCTAGTAGCTGGGACCACAGGCGCACACCACCATACCCAGCTAATTTTTGTATTTTTTGTAGAGACAGGGTCTCACTCTTGCTCAGGCAGGTCTCGAACTCCTGACCTCAAGTGATCCTCCTGGCTTGGCCTCCCAGAGTTCTGGGATTACAGGCGTGAGCCTCTGCTCCCTCCGGTCAGCGTTAGCCTTCCTGCTCTGTAGCTCAGCCTCTCCTCCAGGCTGTTTCCCATCCACATTTCTATGTGCTCACTACTGTCTCTTTTTTGAAAGCAAACTGTCCCTCTCACACCCCCTCCAGTCCCTTTCCTCTCAGCATAGTCAAAGTTCTTGAAAAATGGTGTCTGTGTTCACTGTCTTCACTTCCCTTGTCAGCTCACTGCAGACTGTTTTCTACCTACACCCGCTCCACAGAGTCACAAAGGACTTTGTTGCCAAATCCGAGGCTGACTCTCCTGTTCCCATCTTGTTTGCTTACTAAGAGCATTTGACATTTTGTTTGCCTCCTTTTCAAACGTTGTCTTTGGCTGCTTTGTCCTCAGCCAAGCAGAGCCAGGGAAAGGGCAGCAGGAATGCCAAGTCCTCCAGATTTCTCACCGGCCTCTCTGACTTCCTTTCTGTCTCCTGGTGAGCTCCTCTTCCTCTACCCGACTCTCCCTCTTGAGGACATCTCCCTGGAAAAGAGAGAGATCACCTAAAAGGTCTAGATAGTGTTTCCTCCCTGCACTTCACATCGCTGCCTCCCACTGCTACAGGGCATCTCCTTAGGGATATCCTACAGGCACCTCAAACTCAGCACATCCCAAAATGAGCTTGTTATCTTTCTCCAAAAAGGCCTGCTCTTCCTTCTCCGTTGTCTGTCTAGTTAATGGCACCACAGTCCACCATGTTCCGGAATCAGAACCATGGGCACCATCCTGGGGCGTGCATCACAGTGACCGGAGCAGCGGACCTTGGAATTGGACCACGGTTTGAAGCTCAGCTCTGCCACACTTGCTGTATGACCTTGGGCAAATCACTTAATCTCTAAGCCTCAATTCCATCATCCACAAAATGAGAATAACAGAACCTAAGTCATGGTTATGGCGAGGATGAAATGAAGTGGTGCATGGAAATGTCAGTCAGAGTGCCTGGCACACTTGAGTGCTGGGTCGGTGGTAGCTGATATGGCAGCCATCGTGGTTGTCGGTGTTGTTTTCCTGACTCATTCTGTTTCCCCTCCTGTCACCTAAAGTCCTATCCATGCCACCTCCCCAATAGCTCAGACCAGTCTACTTCTCTGCACCCTACTGCCACTACTTTAAAGCCTTCAGTGGCTGAACATTGCTCTCAGAGTCAAACCCAGACTCTAGTGTGGCCTATAGGGCTCTTTGTGATCCAGCCTCTGCTTAGCTTGCCAGCTTCATCTCTCAGGCCTCTCCTTTCTGGCCTTCCTGCCCACCCACCCTGCCCACCCCCTCCCTCACCCCGTCTGGGCTCCAGCTGAGTGATTTACATTCCCTGAAGGTACTGTGCTTTCCCATTTCCGCACCTTCACACTTGCCCTTCCTTCTGTCTAGATAGTGCTTGCCTCACTTTCTCCAGGATGATCTCACTTACCCTTCAGTGCTTAGTGCTGATACTGTCTCCTCTGGGAAGCCTTCCCTGATGACCCAGTCTGAGTTAGGAATGCCTCCTCTAGGTTCTCAGAGCCCCCTGTGCTTTCTTCCATATAGTACTTGTCACTGTCACTCTACATGAAACAGCCTGTTGGCATGTCCGTCTCCTCCAGCATACTAATGTCAGCAAGGCAGAGACTGCTTCACACTCGGCTCAACTCCCAGAGCCCAGCCCATTGCTTCACAGAGTTGATGGTCAGTAAAGGGTTGTCAGACAGAGTTGAGAAACGTGGGAACTTCTGGAGATCATACCTGGGTGTATTGTCCTGACTCTGCCACTTACTAGCTGTGTAACCTTGAGCTAGTTCCTTATTCCTTCCAAAGTCAAGGTTCGTAATTTATAAATTGAGGATCATGATGCAACAAGGACAGCTGTAAGGATTAAATGAGACAACCTATGGAAAGTGCCAGGCTCATTGTACATAGTAGAAAATGTGCATTTCTGTGCTTTCTCCTTCTCTTGCTACCAAAGTGTATGTATGTGGTCCCATGTCATTCCTTCCACACCAGTAGTTTTCAGAACTTTTTGTATGTAATCACAAGAGTTTTTCCTGAAATCTTCCATGAAACCTCAATCTATAATAAACAGAAGCAGCAAAGTCATGCTGGCGCAGGGCGGAGTGAGGTGAAGGGCCCTCCAGTTCTCGTCCATCCCCATGGCCTCCATGCTCCATGCGCAATTAGAAACGCTGCTCCCGACAGCAGCTTCTCCCCTGAGCACCGCAGTGCCCAGGCCCAGCCTTCACACGCAGGGAAAGAGGCTCCACACAGACCCTCCCAGCTACCGCAGCAACCCTATGAGGTATAGGTATTTTTCTCCCTAATTTACAAACAGGGAAGGTAAGGTTCAGAGAGAGTAAGTGATTTGTCCAAGGTTCCACAGGAACAGCTGACCTTAGTCAGTTGTGGAGCCAGCGTTCACGAACGATGGGAGAATAGAGGCCTGCCCGCTGGGGTGCAGGGTCACTCTGAGTTGCCCGAGGTGGTGGCAAGCCCTCTTTTCTTTCTCTCCTTAGTTTCTTGTTCCTGTTTTTCCTCCTCCATCCCCAAATCAACTGGAAATTCATGAAGTGGTGGGCATCATCTAGCACTTGGTGCACCATCACCATCTCCTTCTCAAGGGTCTTGACATCTGTCTTCTGTGTCCCCCCAAAAGCCTTGTTGGCCTGCTGGTGCCTTGGGGTTGGGCGGAGAGGTGGGGGTGACTCAGAGCCCATAGACTTGCCTTTTGATTGTCTAGATCCAGGTCTCGCAAAGCTGACTAGCAGGGTCTAGCCTCTGAGCCTCCCCATCCTCACCTGGGCAAAGGGGCAGCTTCTACATCTGCTGTGAGGGCCCACTGTGGCTATGCACGGTATGCCATTGGGCACACTTTAGGTGTGGCCTTTCTGTGGGAACATTGCCCTCTTCAGTAATGCCCAGACCCAGCATCAGGAGGGCACAGGCATTCCAGCCACCCAGAGCCTCAGTCTCATCTACCATGGCAATCTCACAGCCCCATGTCTTCCTTCTGTGAGACCCCATAGCTTTTCCCCTACCACATACAGTATTAGAGAGACTGTCTCTCTGGTGGCCATCTGCCTCACATGTGTCCCCACGTTGGTATTCACTCCAGAATTATTGTCCCCGTTTGCATATGAGTCCTCTGAGGCTGATACTGGGGCTCTGGATGAACAAGCTATGAAAACCCTACCCCCTTGGATGTAACTGTCCCTCCACCTCCAGGACATGTACCTGTCTCATTGCATTTCATCCTCACTCCTGCAGGGTGGGTGAGCAGAGCAGGATTGTGAGGTTCTGCTTCCAGCAAGTTAGTGGCAAAGCTGGGCCCCAGGTGTCACATTGTGCCTGGTAGCTGACAAGCCCATGCTGAAACTGCCTCTTGTATTGGCAGGAAAAGGAGAAGGCCCAGTTGGCAACAGACACTCTAAAGCAGGTGAATAGTGTTTCTGGAAGCCGGGAGCCAAGGCCTGCCAGCGAGAGGCTCTTGGAGTGGCCTGACCAGGAACTGGATCGGGTCAACAGCTTCCTGAGCAGTCGTCTGCAGGAGATCAAGAACACTGTCAAGGACTCCATCCGTGCCAGCTTCAGTGTGTGTGAGCTCAGCATGGACAGCAATGGCTTCTCTAAGGAGGGGGCTTCTGAGCCCGAGCCCCAGAGTCTACCCCCCTCAAACCTCAGTGGCTCCTCAGAGCAGCGGCCTGACATCAACCTTGACCTGTCCCCTTTGACTTTGGGCTCCCCCCAGAACCACACGTTACAAGCTCCAGGCGAGCCAGTCCCACCATGGGCAGAAATGAAAGGCCCCCACCCACCATGGACAGAGGTGAGGGGCCCCCCTCCTGGTATCATCCCTGAGAATGGGCTAGTGAGGAGACTCAACACAGTGCCCAACCTGTCCCGGGTGATCTGGGTCAAGACACCCAAGCCAGGCAACCCTAGCTCTGAGGAGCCAAGTTCAAAGGAGGTCCCTAGTTGCAAGCAGGAGCTACCTGAGGCTGTGGCCTCAGGTGGGAAGCCACGGAAGGGCAAAAGACAGGGCAGTCAGACCAAGAAGAGCGAGGTGAGCCCGATCCCCGGGGTCCCGGCCAGCCTGGAGGCTCTCAGTGCTAAGGGCCACAGCCCTGGCCCCAAGCAGCCAGGCAAGGTCCCAGAGCCTCCCAAAGTGGGCACCTGTGGCGAGGCTGGAGTGGGGAGCCGGGGGAGCCGGCCAGGACCAGGTTGGTCTGGAAGCCCCAAAACTGAGAAGGAGAAGGGCAGCTCCTGGCGAAACTGGCCAGGCGAGGCCAAGGCACGGCCTCCGGAGCAGGAGTCTGTGCAGCCCCCAGGCCCAACAAGGCCACAAAGCTTGCCCCAGGGCAAGGGCCGCAGCCGCCGCAGCCGCAACAAGCAGGAGAAGCCGGCCTCCTCCTTGGGTGAGTGCATCAGGAACCAAGTGACTGACCCCCCACCCCAGCCAGGCCATGGGGTGGAGGGCAGTCCTCGTGTGTGGGCAGCACTGCCCCCAGAGCATGACCCCAAGAAGCCTAGAGGTGGGCACTGAGCCCTCCTGGCTGTGTCTTCCTAGACGATGTGTTCCTGCCCAAGGACATGGATGGGGTGGAGATGGATGAGACTGACCGAGAGGTGGAGTACTTCAAGAGGTAGGTGTGGGCTGCCTACTCTCCCACTTTCAGGAGACTCCAGGTTCTGCCCACGAACAAGCCTATATTGTGCCCTGGGCCTCAGAAAGTCATGCTTCCTTAGCCCTAGCCCTTCTGGGAGCCTCACTGCCCCTCAGGCCCTCTCCCATCAGTGTCTGCTGGAACCCAGGGCACCACAGGGCAGGACGGCGCATCTAGGAAGGTGCAAGGGACAGGGAGGAGGCATGTCAGGCCCCAAGAACTGGGACTTTTTCTGGCTTTATTTGCTTTGTTTATTCACTCACACTTTCTTGCTCTGCCTGGGCTGAACTCCGGGGACTGCAGTGAATCAAGCATAGACTAGACAGGGAGTCGGGACAGCAATAACCTGCAGCCTGGTGCTAAATGCTGTTAGAGGAGTTGAGGGCACAATGGCAGTGGGGGTGGGGGCAGGCCAGGAGGCCTTCCCAGAAGGGTGTGGTGATGGAGCTAAAACCTGAAGAATAAGAAACTTGGCCAGGTACAATGAAAAGGTATTTGTGACTGTGGGGCCAGTGTGTGCAAAGGTTTGAGGGTCAAAGAAACACAGCATACTGTTGGCCCTTTGTGTAGCCACTGGCTCTGCATCTGTGTGAGTTCAGCCAACCATCAATCGAAAATATTCAAAAACAAAACAGAACAACAATTTAAAAATGCAGTTATAACTATTTACATAGCATTTACATTGTATTGGTATTATAAGCAATCCAGAGACGGTTTAAAGTATATGGGAAGCATCTGCAGATTTTGATATCTGGCAGGGGGACAGTCCTAGACGCAGTCCCCTGCATATACCAAGGGATGGCTGTCCTTAGGAGAACAGAAGCCAGCCCACCACAGCTAGAGAGTGAAATAGGAGATGAGGAGGGGACTTGTGTCCCTAGGCAGTCATGCTGTCTTTATACGTTGTCCCCTGGGCTCACAGGCTGGGAGCCAGAGAGGGTGCAAAGCCAACCTGTTTTCTAAGTGATTGGGACACAGTGTCTAAAAGAGGGGTCCAGTGAGGAAGGGAGGAAACCTCTGATTGTGCTTCTACCACGTCTCCCAAATCCAACAGGTTCTGTTTGGATTCTGCAAAGCAAACTCGTCAGAAAGTTGCTGTGAACTGGACCAACTTTAGCCTCAAGAAAACCACTCCCAGCACAGCTCAGTGAGGTATAGAGACCCCAAGTGTTGCATGTACCCACTCCCTGTGCTCTACCACCTTCTGTGCCCCTGCCAGACCATTCTATGTTCTGGGGCACAGGGAGTTGGACGTTGGGCTTGGCAGTCCTGACCCCTACACATCCACAGTGACCACACAGTTGGCTACAGTCTCCAAAGGTCTAGGCCCCATTTCTTCTCCTGCAGCCACTTCAATAGGCCTCTGTTCTTCCATTACTCCTCCCTGGGCTAGGCCCTCCTGCTCATGCTCCTGAAGGGTCCCTTCCTGGACTGCCATCCCCTAGGGTATCACCATAGGGGCTCTACGTCTGTTACCAGCTGCCTTCCAAGGTACCCAGGCAGTGGCAGGCGCCATGGGATGGCCCCCACCCCAGCCATTATCAGGTGTCGAGGTAGAATTCCACTTGCCTGGCCCAGCTCCTCAATGCAGGCTACCAGGGTGCTTCCCAGCTGAAGCAATGTGAAAAGGGGCCAGCCTCAAGGGAAGTAGTGAGGGAACAGGCAAGCTGGACCAAGGCCTTGTAGGTCATTTAGGCATTGGCGGGAGCTCTCCCAAACAGGACAATTTCCATGAGGAAGTTGGTAGCCAAGCTGCCTCCTGGAAGAAGAGACAGATGGCTCTGGCCTCCCCTCCCAGCCACTTGCACAGGTCCTTTTGTCAAAATATTATGTATTGGGTGATGTTCTGGACTGGGAGCAGAAGACTGGGGAAGGCATTGGGCCAGGAACCCTGGTGCGGAAAAGAAGGGCAGCTAGGAGGCAGGCCTTGTGCTGGGCTGAGGCCTAGTGGCTATGCAGTTCTGTATCAACCCTGAGCTTCATCCCTGGGGCCAGGCCTTTTGTGGCTGGCAACCACACAGCTGCCCTCAAGGCAGTAGAAGGCTGGGCCAGATGGGCTGAGCTCATAAACGCCCGGACTCCCACTGTGTCCCCCACCTGTCGTCTTCCTCCCCTTTCCAGTGCCAGGGCAGCTCCTCTCTGGGCTGAGGCAGCAGACTTCCTGGTCCCATAGCTCCCCAGGGGCAGACCAGAAAGCCTGAAGCCAGGACAGCTTTCAAGGCTGGGGCTCCCTGTGGCACTCTTGTGCTGCCCTAGAGCCAGGACTGTCTTCTTCAGATTCACCTCAGCCCTCCTCTCCTCTGAGGGGGCTGGGCTCCCTGACCTTGACCAAACTGAGACATCCGTAGCCCCAAGGCATCTTCTAGAGCCAAAGTGCCTTCCTGCCTCTCTGCCACCTCAGGAGCCAGGAGGAGCAGGGACCTCAGGCACTTTATCTCTTGTCCCTACTGAGAGAAAAGTGTGGACTCTGCTCCCACAAGCTCAGTTCCACTGTCATCCCCATCCAGGAAACAAATCCAGCCATCTTTTCCCTCTCCCTCCTCTTGACCCTTTCTCACCTTTGCTGATCTCCAAAGCAGAGGTGTCCCTTCCTCCCTTCAAATAAGTGCTCTCCTTGACCCCCTCCACCCTGCTCTGGGCTGTAAGAGTGTGAGTGCCAGAGGGTGGGTGTTACTCAAGGGTTGTCCCACATGTTGACAGACCCCAGGACTGGGGCTCTGTCCCCCAACACGGTCCTAACCTTCACCCTCTGTTAGAGGTGATCCAAGGAATCTGCTTAGTGTTTTCAGCCCAGGGAACAAAAATAGCAGCCAGCTGCTCCTGCCTCCATGGGGACCCAGAGTCAGAATCGGGAGGCTGGGGCATGGGCTGTTGTTCACTGGGATCCTGCTGTTTTGTTCTTTCTCAGGCCCTGCCCAGAATGAGCTTTGTCAGGGCGTCCTGAGACCTCGACTGCCAGTTGAAAGTCTACACTTTGTCCCTCCATGTGCCCTGCCTGCCCGACCAAGACCCTCCCTGCTCCCCGCCATCCTTGACCAACCAAAAGCTGAACGGATGCCAGACTGTGCTGGGGCCCCTCAGGACCTCGGCAGAGCCGCTTCCTGGTGCTACGAAGCCTCCACACTCAGAGCCCAGGCACTGGGCTGGCCTGTGGGCCGGGGGCTGATGGTACTGCTGGCCCAAACTGCTCTCTTTGTGTTCGGTTTTTTGTTTTTATTTTATTTTTTTTCCAATTCTTTTGATACTGTGAAGATCTTTCATGCTGAAAGATAAAGCAACATTTGGACACAGAGTTGGTGTTTTGGTGATTTGCTGGTCTGGGTGGGGAGTAAGGCGAGGGATATACTCAGGCATGGGATCTGCCATTATTGAACATGTACTGTGCTTAAGCAGTTTGGCATCATTTCCACTTACTCCTTGCAGCAATCCTAAATGGTATTATCCCATTTTACAGACAGGGAAGACTTGCGTGAACTCAGTCTGGCCAATTAGGGTTGAGCACAGACCTGTATGACTCTGACATCCGTGCCCTTTCCTCCCATTGGGAGGACTTTGGTATGTGAGCCTGGAACAGCCCCTACCCTGCTCTGTGTCTGTTTCCTCCTCTGCAAGATGGGTGAGTTGGAGGGGCTGGACTTGGTCTCTGTGCATCTGGATGTGAGAAGAGTCTAGGAAAGCCCTGAGGCCTCTGTGGACTGTGCACCTGAAGCCTGCGCTGTTGAGGTTTCTCACACTGACAATGTAGTCAGGGGAAGTTGGGGGTAAATTGAGTGTTTTATAAATTAGATCTTATTTTCCAATGGGAATGGGACATGTAGCCGAAGTCTTAAAAGTTAAGAGGATAATGAACTCTTCTGTAAAGTAAAGCAAACTACCTCATCCCCCCAATGGGATGTTCTGTAAATTCAGGTTTTAATATAATGGGTTTGCTAAAAATGCCCCACACATAATTGTGTCCAAACTCCTTACCCACAATGTAGTTTTCTCTACCAGAACCAACTCTTAACTTGAGCTTATGTGGGGAGCACCCTGTCTGGAGACAATGGCCACATAGTCACTAAGAGCCATGTGTGGATGGAGTGAGCAGAATCAAACCCTGGCTCCCTCCCCCGCCAGGTTGAGCCCTGGCATGGGACTGGCGGTGTCAGCTTCCTTTTCTAAAGAAGGGAAACAAACAGCACTGACCACAGCCTTACAATTCCTGGTCCCTGGCCTTCCCCAGTCCCCAAGGTGGTGTGGACACTTCCTTTGAAACCTTTCTCTGTCTCTTCATTAGCTCTGTTCCTCTTTCCCTTGAACTCTTGCACGAGGCTCCTGCCCTGCAGTTGGATTGGCACAGCTATCTAAAATTCTGCTTCATCCCTCAAAAATTGCAGGTCTGATCAAGTAGCCCATCCACCTACAGAGAAAGACTTCTTTGAGTGTCATTCAGGGGCCTTCGTGCCTGGGCCCCTGCCTCCAGTACTTGCTCTAGCCATGCCGGATGACCTGTTCCCAGCTAGGTCCTGCAACCTCAGGTCTCCTGACTTTTGCTCACATGTTTCCCTCTTCCCAAATTACCCTTCTTTCATGAATTCATGCTGATCCTTCACATCCCAGCTGAGAGGCCATTTTACTTTGAAAACCATGAAAACCTGTTTGCCCTGCCTTTGTGATACTTCCAAAAGTGGTACCTTGCCTGAGGATCATTCTCCTTAATGTGAAGACTAGTTACCTGTCTATATTTCTGTCTCAACAAATCCGTCAGCTTCTCCCCCACCAGGTGTGTCTTGTTCATCCTTTATCTGCTTCAGCACTGTGCATAATGCCCAGCACGTGCTCACATGAAACACATGAATGAAGGAGAGTAATTCCTCTTTCAAAGTCTTCAATGAAGTTGAAATTACTCGTACAGTCATGGCTGGTGTGCTCTGGGCCCAGTCTCCTTTTCCAGCCTTGGGTCTTGCTACCCCAGCTCACCCCAGCCGCAGTGATCTTTTTCCTGAGGAATCTGTGCTTGCACATGGCCAGACCTTTATTCTGCTGCACCCTCACCCAGGAAGCCTCTCCACTCCCTGCGCTGAGACCCCCACAATTCCCTGGAAGCTCAGGTCCAATGTCTTCGCCTCTGGTTCCCCAGGCAGTTAATCTCTCTGAGCTGTCACAGGATTTACAATAATAATCGTTTACATTTATACAGGTCCTTACGGTTAAAAACCACTGTCATCAGTATTTTATTTATCCCTCACCACTCCGAACAGAGAGGACACCAGCCAGAGCCCGGTTGTTCCGCAAGCTCCGCCCTACCGCGGCAGCAGGGTGCGGGACGGAGACCCGCTCGCGCTGCCCCGGAACTCTGGGCCACTAAGGGCGCGCTGCGCGCCGGCGGGAGCGCGCCGGCGGCGTCACGCTCAGGGCCAGGTTGGGCACCTGGCAGGCCACCCGGTTGCGGATCAGCGACCTCCACTCAGGGCGTCGTCTTCGCCCGGGCTTGGTTTGAGCCTTTAGCGCATGCTCCAAATCCTCCAGTGTCCCACAATGCCTCGTCTGACGCTTTCGCCCTCAGCCCTGGCAACAGTCACGAAACCAGTCACACAGGGTGTAGGCGTCGCGCCGCACGAGAGCGGCTCGGGAGAAAAATTTGTCCCTCTGCCCGATCCGTAACTCCGGGGTCGTCGCTGATGTCGGCTTCTTAATACCTGATTGGCTCTCGCTCAGATAAGGCGGGGGGGTTTTTGCCGTGGCGCGCATGCGTGGGGCAAAGGATGGAGGAGTCGGAGCCCGAGCGGAAGGTGGGAGCGAGCCTGGGGTCCTTGCGGCGGGGAGGGAAGCTGGAGTGAAGGCGGGGGACCGAGCTGGGCCTGACTCCTGCGTATTTGCAGAGGGCTCGCACTGACGAGGTGACTGCTGGACGGAGCCGCTCCGAGGCGGAGGATGAGGACGACGAGGACTACGTGCCCTATGTGCCCTTACGACAGCGCCGGCAACTACTGGTGAGGGGGCCGTGTCGAAGGAGGAATGGGGGCGTGACCGCCTGGTCGCAATGGCGTGGGGGGTGTGGCCCCGGCCTGCGGGGCGAGGGCGGCTGTCTGAGGTGTGTCAGTATATGCGAGCATGACCCCCAGGCAAACGAGGAACTGACGACCCGATCCGGGGGGCAGGGCAGCTCTGCGCCTCGGGCACAGAACTCTCGCCCAAAAGCCAGGATCCTGACGCAGGCCCTGTGGGCCCGATGCTCCATTATTTCTTGGGCTTGACTCTGGGGGGCACTGGTGGAACCTCAGCTCCAGAAGCTGCTGCAGCGAAGACGCAAGGGAGCTGCAGAGGAGGAGCAGCCGGACAGCGGCAGCGAGCCCCGGGGAGATGAGGACGACATCCCGCTGGGCCCTCAGTCCAACGTCAGCCTCCTGGATCAGCACCAGCACCTGAAGGAGAAGGCCGAAGGTGGGCTGGGGAGCACTGCCTAGGCGGGAGGGGAGAATCTAAGCCTGGCACACTGTTGGTGTCTCTGTGACGTCTGTGTCTCATCTCAGCTCGCAAGGAGTCTGCCAAGGAGAAGCAGCTGAAGGAAGAAGAGAAGATCCTGGAGAGTGTGGCTGAGGGCCGAGGTATGGTTGTGGCCAGGGTAGCGAGGAGGTGCACTGAGCCTCTTCCCCACAGCACTGGGCACGTTACATCGCAAGGGGTCTGGCCTCCCAGAAGCAGGAGCCAGCCCTGAGGCACATCTCTGTCCTCAGCTTTGATGTCAGTGAAGGAGATGGCGAAGGGCATCACGTACGACGACCCAATCAAAACCAGGTATGTCCGTGCAGTTGTCCTTGTTTAGAATGGTGTGTGGCTGGGACTAGCAGGGACACCCAAGGCCAGCCGTGCTTAAGGCTTTCCTTGATCCCTGCCACTTACCTATAGTTGGACACCGCCCCGTTATATCCTGAGCATGTCTGAAGGGCGGCATGAGCGTGTACGGAAGAAGTACCACATCCTGGTGGAGGGAGATGGTATCCCGCCACCCATCAAGAGCTTCAAGGAAATGAAGTTTCCTGCAGGTGCCTGGGAATGGGGAGAGACAGCACACTTTTAGAATCAAGCGCCTGTGAGGTTGTTTCCTAGCCCCTGCTGAGGTCAGCCACTTCAGCACTGGGCCCAGCCACTGGAGATAGAGGGCTTCGAGGAGGGATTTCTTTAGGTTCCTTTTTCAGTTGTCCCAGCTGTACATGTTCACTATCCTCTGTTGTTACGGAGCTTCAGTGGGAGAACGATGTGGGGTTTAGACAGACCTGGGTACAAATCATGGCTCCACCTAGCCCATGGGTCTTAGACAAGTCTCTCTCTGTTTTTCTTTCTCTCTCTCTCTCTTTCTGAGCCGTGGTTTCATCATTTGCAACTTGTGGGAATAGTGCCAATTTTACAGGCTTTGGGGCTCTGATAAAGTACCTGTGAGTCACAAGGATGATGCTTGGGTTGTTTTCCATAGCCGTCTTGAGGGGCCTGAAGAAGAAAGGCATCCATCACCCAACGCCCATTCAGATCCAGGGCATCCCTACCGTGTGAGTGTGGCCTGTGGACCTGGGTTCCCTGAGAAGGGTGTTGACAGGGAGGAGCAATGGCTAGGTGTCCAACTGGAGAAACAGTCCCTGTCTTCTACAGAACTTGACACTCAGGCTGTCCTCTCCCAACAGTCTGTCTGGCCGTGACATGATAGGCATTGCCTTTACGGGTTCAGGCAAGACGCTGGTGTTCACACTGCCTGTCATCATGTTCTGCCTGGAGCAAGAGAAAAGGTTACCTTTCTCCAAGCGTGAAGGGCCCTATGGACTCATCATCTGCCCCTCGGTAAGATACACTGGCCTGAGAGCAGGGCAGAAACTGGGGCCACCATCTGGTGCCAGCCTTTGTCCCTGTGCTTGCAGCGGGAACTAGCCCGGCAAACACATGGCATCCTGGAGTACTACTGCCGCCTGCTACAGGAGGACAGTTTACCACTCTTGCGCTGTGCTCTCTGCATCGGGGGCATGTCTGTCAAAGAGCAGATGGAGACCATCCGACAGTGAGTGTTGGCACTCCCTGCCTCACAGGCCACACCAGAGCCCCCAGGGAAGCTAAAGGACCCTTTAACCATTTTACAGACCTTTGCTGAGGTCCACTATGGGCCCAGGCCTCACGGAGCCCCTAGTCTAATGGGGAGGTTTGCTGGGGTGGGACAGAAGGATGTGGCCAAGTACTGCAGGAGCACAGCAGATAGAATGGCCCACCTTGTTGGGGGCATCTAAGGTAGGAGGTCAGAGAAGGCTTTGCAGGGAAGGTGACGTTTGAATTTTGAAAAGGGGCGGTTCAGGCAGAAAGCAGAGGTGGAAGGCCCGGGGAGATCAGGGTTGTCCAGTTGTCAGTCAAGGAAGCTGAGGGTACTAGGCAGGGCTGGATCCCCTGTGGCACCTGTGTCCGTCCTATGCAGTGCAGACGTCACCAGGGGCCCTGGGTCAGGCCCTGGGCTCACAGACAGGCCACGCCCCGTCCCTATATCTGAGGCATTCCCAGTCTCGGAAGATGTGGGCACAGAAAAGATGAAATCAGTGTACCAGGAAAGCGAGCCCAATAAACATTACAGAGGGGCTACGGAAGCACAAAGTGAAGCATCTCTGGGGATTCAGGACAGTCCTGGGTGAGAGGAGCGACCCAGGAGAAGAGGGAAGGGCGTGCTGGGCTGAGCAGTGGCCAAGAAGACTGCAGCACCTTCCACGAGAGAAAGGTGTGCTACAGATGGGACAGGGTGGCGGGAGTGGCGAGGACGGCACAGGTGAGAAAGACAGAAAGGAGGGCAGAGGGCAGAACAGAGGCAGGGTGCCTGCCAGCCCCTAGGTGACAGCAGGTAGCCCCAACCTCAGGGTCTCTCATTGGTCCCCAGCGGTGTACACATGATGGTGGCCACCCCTGGCCGCCTCATGGATCTGCTGCAGAAGAAGATGGTCAGCCTAGATATCTGTCGCTACCTGGCCTTGGACGAGGCCGACCGCATGATTGACATGGGCTTCGAGGGTGACATCCGCACCATTTTCTCCTACTTCAAGGTGCCTGCCCCCTGCCTGGCCAGGCACCCCTCACTCACCCCACACTGAACTTTGGAGGGCCCCACCCTCTGCTCCTACTCCAGGGGGGCTGCATCCCAGCTGCTCAGCTTCCCCACATCCCATCTCCCACATGCCTTCATGCCCTCTGTGCCCTCAGCCCTAGCCCCTGCCTTCCTCAGGGCCAGCGGCAGACCCTACTCTTCAGTGCCACCATGCCCAAGAAGATTCAGAATTTTGCCAAGAGCGCCCTCGTAAAGCCTGTCACCATCAATGTGGGTCGAGCTGGGGCGGCCAGCCTGGATGTCATCCAGGTGGGCAGGCACTCCTGATGGGTAATCTCTCACCTGTGAGGACTGGATCTGGCAAGGCTTCCTGGAAGCTGGTTGGAGCAGGGGATTCACCTTGTGGTCACTGGGGGTTTCATTCAAAGCCCCTGGCCCTTAGCCATGGCCATTTTTAGGGTCCCCAGACATTGGTCGCAAGAGGCTTCTGGTCACCTCCTGGCCCTCATTAGGTGGCTGACCTCTGTGGCAGGGCCATGGCTGGTGAACCTAACCTCAGGATCACCTGACCTGGCCCCTGTGCTGGCAGGAAGTGGAATATGTGAAGGAGGAGGCCAAGATGGTGTACCTGCTCGAGTGCCTGCAGAAGACACCTCCACCCGTGAGTGCCCCCCATGCTGTGCCAGAGACCCCAGGACAAGGGAGAGGGTGGAGGGACAGCATATGGGGAAAGTTGGGTGGGGGCCCGGGCAGAGTCAGCCCCTCTGACTAGAGTTGGCCTTCCCGGACAGGTGCTCATTTTTGCGGAGAAGAAGGCAGATGTGGATGCCATCCACGAGTACCTGCTGCTCAAGGGGGTCGAGGCTGTAGCCATCCATGGGGGCAAAGGTCAGGGTGGTGCATGTGTTGACACAGACCTTGCTGCCATAGCAACCCCTCTTCCAATCCCTTCCCCTGCCTGGCCAGTTTGCCATTACTCTCCAAACTTCTACTGTAGCTCTAATGGCTCCTACTTGGCCCTCCCCAGACCAGGAGGAACGAACCAAGGCCATCGAGGCATTCCGGGAAGGCAAGAAGGATGTTCTGGTGGCCACAGACGTAGCCTCCAAGGGCCTGGACTTTCCTGCCATCCAGCACGTCATCAATTATGACATGCCCGAGGAGATCGAGAACTATGGTAGGAACTGGGGGGCCAGGCGTGTGGGCCAGGCAGGGGAAGGGCCAGGCCAGGGCCCCAGCCCCTGGGCAGTATCCCTCTCTCTGCAGTGCACCGGATTGGCCGCACTGGGCGCTCAGGAAACACAGGCATCGCTACCACCTTCATCAACAAGGCCTGTGGTGAGTCTGTTACCAGAGACACCTCAGCTGTCCTGTGGGTCCTCTGCCTGTGGCCACCCAAGTTCTGGCTGCAGGGCCCAGGGTGGGGCCTGATGACTCCCCCTGCCTCCCCAGACGAGTCAGTGCTGATGGATCTCAAAGCCCTGCTGCTGGAAGCCAAGCAGAAAGTACCGCCCGTGCTGCAAGTGCTGCACTGCGGGGATGAGTCCATGCTGGACATCGGAGGTGACTGCAGCCTGGGAGGCACAGCGGGGGTGGGGGAGGCAGGAAGGCGGGAGCACCACGCAGCAAGTCCCTGCTGTGCGTCAGTGGACTGGTGGGAGGCCCAAGATCCAGGCATGAATGTAGCCTGTGACCTTGCTGACACCCACCCCCATTCCCCAGGAGAGCGCGGCTGTGCCTTCTGCGGGGGCCTGGGTCATCGGATCACTGACTGCCCCAAACTCGAGGCTATGCAGACCAAGCAGGTCAGCAACATTGGCCGCAAGGACTACCTGGCCCACAGCTCCATGGACTTCTGACCTGACTGTCTTCCTGCCCTGCCAAAAGGCCTCAGGCGCCGGGACTCCAGTCACCCCGTACACACGCACCAGCCCCCTGGGCAAGAAGCCAGCATCCTCGGCCCAGCTGGCCTGGGCTGGGCCAGGCTGGGCCTGGCTGCCTGCTCCCCATGCCCCCCAGAATTGCTGTTTTTATTCCCCTTCGCCCCAGCTGCCATTAAAGCATAAGGCCCTCCGTCTTAGCCCCAGGCCTGCCTCTGTGTTTCACCTTGTCTGCCCGCTTGTTCCTGGGCCACCCTCACCCCCAGAGGTGGGGCATCGGCATCTCCCACCACTGCTGCCAGCACCCAGCCTTGGACTTGGCCGTGGGGGGAGCCTCCTAGCCTCGCCCCCGTGGGGACTTGGTGTCTCTGCTGGGCCGCCTGGATTGATGGCTCAAGGAAGGACCACACTGGTGGGCCAAGGAGAAATGGTGGGGTTCTCTGGTGTCCTTGCTGACTGTTGTCACGCCCCAAACTTCAGTTTTCCTGTCAGTTGTGTGATGCTCCAGGGGCTCCTCCTGGTGCCCCTTGGGAGGCTGCTCCCTGCCTGGGCCCTGCTGCTTGTCTGCCCAGGCTCCCAGGAGGAAGTTCTGCACACTGAGGAGGCAGCACATGCCATAGAACTGCCATTCAGGCCACATGTACCTGCTGACCCTGTTTTGCCCAGCGCTGTGCTGGGCTGCAAGGATCCAGGAGAGCAGGCAGACGACCACTTGGGATGCTTGCAGATGAGTGGGAGAGACAGACTCAGACCCGAATAAACGTGGATGGTTGTCACAAGACCACGGGCGGATGAAACAGGATTTTAGCATCTGACGAGAGACAGGCAGAGGGTGTGTTCACACAGTTCCTCTGTGCCAGGCATTTTGTGTGTAAGGGCACATGCTTATCCCGGAGGGACAGCAGTTGCTTAAGCCATGTTTGTCACTTGGTGTGTGGCCTTGGGCAATTTTTCTGAACCCTGATTTCCTCATCATTGAAATGGCGATGAGAATGCAAAGGACGGGTATCTGAAACTGCTGGCACTCAGGGCAGCCATGGGCACAGAGTCAGATGCCAGGAGGCCATTAGAAAGTATTTCCTGGCCACAGCTGGGTGTAGTGGCATACCTGTAGTCAAAGCTACTTGGGAAGCAGGAGAATCACTTAAGCCCAGGAGATCGAGACCAGCTTGGGCAATGTAGTGAGACTCTGTCTCCCCAAACACAACAGAAGAGTATATTTCCTGGCAAAATACATGACCCCCGAATGGCATTTCTCAACCTGGTTACACACATTCTTTCCCAGAGATGGCACTGAGTGAATGACATGAGGGTGTCCCCGGAATTCAGATCCATACATGGAGCCCCGATACTGGGCTCCTGCAAAGCGAAGTGAAAAATGGGCCCCTGGCAGGACTCAGCTTTAAAAGAGCATGTGACCTCTCCTGGGGCCCAGGGGGGCTGCCACCCGTTCTCACGTGGCTGGGACCGTTAAGGGGTATGGACCCCATGTGGCTGGATGCCCGCTGTACATGTGTACTGCAGGGGCCTCTGTGCTCTCAGACAGCATGGAGTGGATCAGGGAGGGCCTCCAGGAGGAAAAGGCAGCCCACTTTTCCCCAGGCGGCGCAATGGTGAGGGGTGCCTTGGAGGGGCTGGGCTTTGGGAGGTGGAGGCCAGAACACAAGCCCCTGAGTGCTGGGCTGAGGAGCCTAGGCTGGACCCAAGAGAAGGACAGAAGGCTGGTTTGGGGTTGGTGGAGGGAGCCACAGCAGGGCTGCACAGGGCAGTGGTTTGCCGGGAGACGCCGAGGCAGGCGGTGGGCAGCAGCCGGCCGCGACGGTGAGGAGCAGCAAGTGGATATGAGAGATTTCAGAGAGAGAGCAGAGCAGAGCAAGGCTGGCGACTCTCAAACCAGGACTCGGTGGGGAAGCCAGGAGCTGTCGGGTCTGGCTAGAAGAGGGTCCTGGTGGGGTGGCTGTGGGGAACGCAGGTCACAGGCTGCCGGGGTGGGACGGGGGAGGGGTCAGAGCCCGTGACTCAGGGGAGCCAGCCTGCGGTCAGACGCTCACACCCAGCTGACCAGGTGCAGGCCCGGTCATGGGCCCTCGGGGGCTCTGAGGCTCCCTCCAGGAAGATTCGGGCACCTTCGGCCAGCCAGGGCCCCACGGAAGAGATACGTGCTGCCCCTCAACCCTTTAGCTGAAGCCGGCGCTCCCCTCCCCCTGCCCCGCAGCTGCCTCTGGACAGAGGGAGCGGAAGTGGCCAGAAGGGGAAGTGTGAGGAGTTCCCGTCCAGCCTGTCACCAGTCTCCTCAGGTTTTCGCAGTGGCAGCCCTGTGGCCTGGCCGTGGCCATGGAGTCTGCGGAGGCCCCCGTCAAGGATGGCATCCTCTACCAGCAGCACGTCAAGTTCGGCAAGGTGAGGAGCCCCGGCTGCCGGGGACGGCGGCCCGTGCCCAGCTTCGGACAGCCCGCCGGCCCCGGGAGACCCGGGCAGGGCAGCAGGTGCAGCAGCCACGCAGGCTGGGGTGCGGAGCAGAGCCCTGTGCTCAGCCTGGGAGGGCCGAGGCCTCATTTAAAGACAGGGAACACGGGAGCCGAGCAGGGCCTAGGAATCAAAACCTCCGAGCTGGGAAGAGCCCAGCAGCCTTCTGACCCTTCTAATAGTGGCACCGAGGCCCCTAGCGAGGGCTGGGGGCTGAGCCGGAGGAGCCTTCAGACAGGACCCCCACCATGCAGCAGAGGGTGTGGCTCCTAGTGCCGGGAGTGAGGAGGGTCGCCTCTCTCGGGCAGCAGCCCTTGCACCCCGCGGCCCAGCTGCAGCTGCTGCCAAGGCAGATAAACGGTCGGCTTCCTCTGCTCAAAGTTATTTGCATGTTTCCTTCCTTGCCAATGTGAGGTTCAGGCCTCCCTCCCACCCCAGCCTGTGGCCCGTGGCCCAAGTGCCCTTTCTGGGGGAGGAGGAGGAACCAACATAATGGCAGTATCAGGTGGTTTGTCCTAGCCACTAGGTCTTTTAAAGACATAATCCAGTAGCAGCCCCAGTCCCGTGTTCTCATGGCCTTTTGAGAGACAAAAACACTGGTCCTTATGGAGGTCACAGTTAGGAAAGGGTGGGGTGAGATTTGAGCTCGGGACTGACCCAGCCTAGGCACAGACTCTTCCCCCTGCCAGCCGGCCCTGGCAAGGCTTCCTCCCCTGCACCCTGAGGAGTTGGGGGAGCAGAGGCCGCCTGGGTGGCTGGGAGTGTTTGCTGAGCAGCTTGTGCTGAGCTGAGCCACAGGGAGAGTAACCACCCAAGGGTCTCCTCTCCCACCCTCCTCTCTCTCCCCCAGAAGTCCTGGAGGAAGGTGTGGGCTCTGCTGTATGCAGGAGGCCCGTCAGGCGTGGCGCGGCTGGAGAGCTGGGAGGTCCGGGATGGTGGTCTGGGGCCAGCAGGTGACAGGTCCACAGGGCCTGGCCGGCGTGGGGAGCGGCGGGGCATACGCCTGGCCGACTGTGTGTCCGTGCTGCCGGCTGACGGCGAGAGCTGCCCCCGGGACACTGGCGCCTTCCTGCTCACCACCACCGAGCGCAGCCACCTGCTGGCCGCACAGCACCGCCAGGCGTGGATGGGCCCCATCTGCCAGCTGGCATTCCCGGTGAGCCAGGGGCTACTTGTTCATCCTCCCCCACTTGTGCACGCTTACCCACATCCCGTCACTCCACAAGCGCTGCCGAGCACCCCCACGACCGGGACACAACCCAGGAACCTGAGCAACGATTCTCAGATGGCCACGAGCTTGAGCTAGAGAAAGTGAACGGGCAGTGGCGGGGGAGTGGGGCAGCATCAGCAGGATGGTCAAGGCAGGCTTCTCCGAGGAGGGGACAGCAGGCCTGACAACACACAAGAGCCCACGAGACAGGTCTGAGGAGTCGTGAACAGAGGCAGCAGCACGGGCAAAGGTCTGGAGGCAGGACAAAGTGTGGGGAGTTCCGGGGCATAAAGAAGGCACTGGCATGGCTGGACGGGCAGGAGCAGGCAAGGAGCTTGGTGGGAGCCGCTGAAGCCACTTTGGGGTGTGCATGGTTTGGGATTTCATTCTGAAAGGAAAAGGCTTTGGAGGGTGTAAGCCAGGCACTGACAGTTGTAAAGCCTCACTGGGTTTGCGATGCACCAAAAGGAAATGAGTCTAGCGGTTCCTCAAATAGTTAAAGTTGCCACGTGACCCAGCAATTCCACTCCTAGGTATGTACCCAAGAGAACGGGAACAGGGGTTCAGACAAACCCATACGCCCATGTTCACAGCAGCACTGCGCACAACGGGCAAAAGGCAGAAACAACCCAAATGGCCATCAGCTGACAAATGGATCAACAAAATGTGGTCTGTCCACACAGTGGAATACTATTCAGCCACAAAAAGGAGCGATGTGCTGACATGCGTGACAAGGCTGAGCCTTGAGCACATGGTGCTAAGACACAGAAGGCCACATTGCGTACAGCTCCATTTACACGAAGCGTACAGAATGCGGCCGCCTGGGCTGGGGAGGAGAACGGGGAGTGCGTGCTGATGGATATGGGGTGATGAAACATTTCTGGAACTAGATAGTGGTGATGGCTGCACAACCTTGTGAATATACTAAATATACTAAAATAAGGGGACCAGTGAGGCAGCTGTTGCATTTGTTGCATTCGTGCCTGGCCATGCTACCATGGGCCAAGCGTCACGGTGGAGGTGCTGAGAGTCAGAGTGTCAGGACATGCTGAAGGACTGGGGATAAGGGGGACAGAGTTGGGGAAGGAGGGACAGAGGGGGCAGGGGCAGGGGCAGGGCAGGCGGTTGCAGTGACTGGGAGGAAAAAGTCTGGGGGCGTTGTTCACCCCTACCCCTCCTGCCTCTTCTCTCCTCCAAGCATCAGAGAGCCTGTCCCTCGCTGAGCTCAAGGGCTGTGGGGACATCTCTGGTGTGCACAGGGATTTGTAGCTCTCAGACACCCTCAAGAACAGCACCTCTTCCCCGCCCAGCACCCTCAAGGGGGAGTGGGGCGGGGATTGCAGCCCCCCTGGCAGCCGGGGAACAGATCAGAGGGGCCTGGGCTCATGGAGCGTGTCAGGGCAGAGCCGGGACTGCCACCGGGTCCCCGGATGCCCTTGCTTGCCACGGAGTCCTGGGATCCTGACCCAAGGAAGGCAATGTGGACGAGGAGTGGGAGGGCTCCAACCTCTAACTTGAGCCCCTTTCCCAGGGCACAGGGGAGTCTTCCTCAGGATCAGGGCAGGCTGAGTCTCCCAAGAGGGGCCCCGTCCCCATGGAGGAAAACTCCATCTACTCCTCCTGGCAGGAAGGTGAGTCAAGGGGGCGCAGGGCAGCCTCAGCCCACCACACGCAGGGCTGGGGGCTTTGGGGGACTGACGGGCCGCCCTCACTGCCCGCCGCAGCAGGTGAGTTTCCGGTGGTGGTGCAGAGGACAGAGGCTGCTGCCCGCTGCCTGCTGAAGGGGCCCTACCTCCTGGTGCTGGGCCAGGACGCCATCCAGCTGAGGGACCCAGCTGGCCCCCAGGCCCTCTATAGCTGGCCCTACCGCTTCCTGCGCAAGTTCGGCTCCGACAAGGTGAGGCGCTGGTGGCCCTGTGGGGGGGTGGCAGCACCTTGGCCCTTCAGTGGCTAATCCGTGCTGTGGCACCTGTGCCAGGGTGTGTTCTCCTTTGAGGCCGGCCGCCGCTGTGACTCGGGCGAGGGCCTGTTCGCCTTCAGCAGCTCCCGGGCCCCCGACTTGTGCGGGGCCATGGCAGCTGCCATCGCCCGCCAGCGGGAGCGGCTGCCGGAGCTGACCGGGCCCCGGCCCTGTCCCCTCCCTCGGGCCACCTCCTTGCCCTCCCTGGACCCGCCTGGAGAGCTGCGGGAGGTACCACTGGGGCACGAGCCACCCACCTCCAGGAGGGTGCGCCTGGCTGAGCCCGGGCCCCAGAGCCTGCCGCTGCTGTTGGGCCCAGCACCTGACGAGCCGGCGGCGTCCGGGCTGTACGCAGCCGTGTGCAAGCGGGCCAGCGGGCCCCCAGCCGCTGCCGAGCACCTCTACGAGAACCTGTGCAAGCCTGAGGCCGGCCCCTCGCCGCCTGATGCGGGCCCCGACCCCCAGGAAGGCCCCGGCGCCCGCAGCCCCTTGGCCAGCCCCATCTACCACAACAGCGAGGACCTGAGCTGGCCCGGCCCGGCCCAGGACAGCAGCCTGGAGGCCCAGTACCGGCGGCTGCTGGAGCTGGAGCCGGACGAGGCAGGGGGCACCGGCCGCCCTGGCGCTCAGGCGGGCTTCAAGGCCAAGCTGGTGACGCTGCTGAGTCGAGAGCGGAGGAAGGGCCCTGCCCCCTGTGACCGGCCCTGAACACTGCGGAGTGGCAGCTGGAGCAGAGGCGCTCTCCCCAGGACAGGAGGGTGGGCCAGTGGGCGAACAGTCTGCTCTGGCGGCAGGACAAGGCAGGAAGCCTGGGAGGCCCCGCACCCTGCCCTTCCCTCCCGCCATGTACAGTGTACAGACTTGCCGATAATAAAGCCCGCAGCTCCAGCTCCCCTCCAGTCCTCCTCGTGGCCCTCAGCCTGCACCTCTTCACCTCTCCGCTTCCGCTCCCGGCAGGGGCACTCGGGGGCTCATGTGGGCATGCAGACCCTCGCTCACGTGCACTGCCACACACACCAGTTCCCTGTGCTGGGCTCCAGGGACACAGATGACCGGGGCCTGACCTCTGCCACCCATGGGCTCAAATCCACTGGAGCAGATGGACAGGATGTAGACAGTCATGGCTCCATGTCGCTCCGCAGAGCCAGACGGCGGTCGGGAGGGCGGGCGGAGGGAGCTGCCAGGCCTGCAGATAGGAGAGGTGCCCTCTGGATGCAGCTGGCAGGAAGGAGGGGCTCCACCAGGCAGGCAGTGAGCCGGGCTTTCTAGGCTGACAACAGGCCCCCGTAGGCCGAAGGCAAGGAGGAGAGCATGGACACCGGGGTGGTCAGAGGGGCAGAGGGAGAGCATGGAGCATCAGGGGCTCTGGGGGCCTGCAAGGAGCCGGGTCTCATCCTCAGGGGAGGAGCGGTGTGGAGGGCAAATTCAAATGAGCCCAAACTGGAGACCAGGAAGCCTGAGCTAAGGAGGAGGCAGTGGGATGGGGAGAGGTGGAAGGGCTTTCACAGATGTGCACGCGAAATACTTGTTCCCTGCTGAGACTCAAACAATTTGCAGACACCTCCGGGAAACTCGGGTGCAGTTTCATCAACTGCAAGGATAGAGATGAAATGGCAATTGGGCATTTTCCTTCAGGAGGGTTTCGCTGCGTGCCTACTCCATGCCAGGCGCTGGGGACACAGCTGTGTTCAGGACAGCCTCGCTCCTGTCCTCAGGGAGCCAACATTCCCGAGGGGGAGAGGCAAATTTCTGTGCCTGCTTCCCGTCCTCTCCCTGGCCGCTGCTGTCACCTGCGTAGGGCAGCCATGCACACAGCGTCATGCCTCCAGGGATCTGGCCTCTTGGGTCCTTGACCTCCACTCTGCTCAGCTGGCACACCCTGAGCCTTGTCTTCACAACAGTGATGTGCGTTTTTGCCATCTTACGTTCAAGCATCCTCCTCTGGCCACCTCCTCTCCTTCTAGCCCATTCCCTCTGGCACAACCAATACCTCTTCTGTCCAGCCACATCGACCTGCAGTGACCCTTTTCTGACTGTCCTCGGGGCCCTGTCCATGCTTGTCCCACTTAGATTCTGTGCTCCACCCATGGAGCTCTTGTCTCTCCTGTCATCTTATTTGTCTGGCAAAGCCCCCAGCCTCGGGTAAACCCAACTCTCCTCTGTGTCTGTCCCCTGGCGGCTTCCCAGAGCCAGAAAAATTCATATAAGCAGGTGATTGCATCCTCATTGATACTGTGATCGCAAAGCTCAAATAGGCAGGCTCTTCCTGCTGCCCAAAGACCCTGTGCCCTGAAGTGGCAGCTTTTCTCCTCCCCAAGACCTTCAAACCTTCTCCTCTCTGTCCCCACCCACTGTCACTTTGCAGACACATTGGGGAAATAGCATTCCACAGAAGTGAATACCTTCAGCCTCCCACTACCCACTACCACATCTACAGGTGTACTAGCCTCTGCCCTACACTGGAAGAAGTGTCTGTCTCCAGCATGTGCTCTGATCCTGGTTCCTCTGACCTCCTCAGAGCTTGGCAAACTGAGCTGTCTCCTCTCTCCCCTTCTCTCCTGGACCCATTCATTCATTCTATCATCACCATCACCATCACCATCATCGTCATCATTTCCAGCCACACACAAACCTGCTCTATAATTTCACATCTTAAAAGAAACCTTCCCAGGATGCAGTGGCTCACACCTGTAATCCCAGCACTTTGGGAGGCTGAGGCATGGGGATCTCTTGAGCCCAGGAGTTCAAGACCAGCCTGGGCAACATAGTGAGACCCTGACTCTACAAAAAACATTTTTAAAAATGAGAGCCAAGAGTGGTGGCACACACCTGTAGGAAAAGAAAGAAATAGACCTTCCCCTGACCTCACACTTCCCTTCAGCCACCTCCCCATTTCTCTGTTCCTCCTCACAGCGAAACTCCTCAAAAGAGTTGTCAATTACTCTCATTTCCACTTTCCTTGCCTCCTATTCTCCACTCACTCCGGTCTCCCCTTTGTCCCCACAACAACATTACATGCCTCATACCTGAGTCACCAACCTCCTTGTTCCCCCAAACAAAAGCAACCTGGGCTCCCGCAACTTCTCAGCAGCAGCTGACACCCCTTCGTGAGACACTGCCTTTGCTTGATTTTCCTCCTACCTCACGGATCTCTCCTTCCCGGTCTCTTCCTGTCCCTCTGTGGGAGTTTCTCCTGGGGTTCTAGTCTCAGATACAGTGTGACTCAACCCTGGCTACACAAGGAATCACCTGGAAGACTTTAAAAAATGCCCATGCCCATGGGTCTGATCTCCTCAGTCTAGATAGTTGGGGCCTGGGCATCAGTGTTTGTTTTTTCAATTTCCAGACAATTGTAGTATGCATGCAAGGTTGACGACCACTGCCCTAAGTAAGACAGTCTCTAGATTTCATAGACCATCTGAATACTGACTCCCAAAGGTGTAGCTTCAGTGCAGAATTCTCCTCTGGGCTCCACCGTTAGGAATCCAACTGCACACTAGACATCTGGATGTCTGAAAGGCACCTCCAAATTCCATGGGCGAAGGGAGGTTGGGCAAAGGAGGGCTCCCCGCAGTGCTCCTCCAGGGTGTGTGTGGCCACAGAAGGCAAAGCCTGGAAGGATGTTAGCGCCATGGGCAGGCATGCCTCACTCATGCAGGCATTTCCTGATGTGCAATGTCTCAGAGCAAGAGGCTGGCTGCTGCAGCAGGGACCCCTCCTCCCCATGGTGGCAAGCCCACACCCAGCCCTTGCCAGCTCAGCAAATTCCAGGACACACTGAAGATTATCCAGAGAGTCAGGGTCATGGCCAGAACTGCAACCCAGGACTCTGGGTATCTGGCACGACGTCCTTTCCTTCATCGCAGATCTAAGCTGCTCTGTTTCCCAGCGATTTCTGTGTGGTTCCAACCAGACCATGGAAGCTGCATGAGTCCTGGCCACCAGGGGGCACTGTGTCCTTCCTGTTCCTGTCCAGGGATGCCTGTGCTGGGAGGCTCCTGGCTGGGTCCGGGCCGGAGCTTGCACTGACCCAAGGAACAGGAAACTGGGCTCCTTCTCTCTGCTGGAGGACTGCCAGGCTGCCGCTTCTTTCTTTGCTCATTTGCCGTTTCCCTTTTTCAATCCTTCCTTCATTTGTTCATTCACATCCACTATGTTCAGGTACTGGGAAATGTTAGCGGACAATGACACACAAGCCCCTGCTCTCATGGGACTGACATACTAATGGGGACAAAGGACAATGAAGAAATGCTACTATAATGTCAGATAGTGGAAAGGGCTATGGGGAACCATAAAGCAGGGCTCGGGCCTAGCGTGTGATGCGGGTGAGCTGCCAGGGGACTGCTGCCCCGGAGAACACATGCGGGAAAGCCCTTGGAGGAGGCCACATCTGAGCAGAGACCTGAACAAAGGGAGCAGAGCCGCCGCCCCAAGCATCTCAAGGCAGGAATATGCTCGGCACATTGGAGGAGTGGCGAGGCCAGTGGCTGGAGTGGGGCGAGCAAGTGGGGGCAGTTGGACCCAGTTTATTTACATTGTGTAGGTCTAGGGACTTTAGTTTTATTTCAGTGTAATGCGAGCCCACTGGAATGCTAAAGCTGAGGGTGATGTGGTGCTCAATTTCTGCTTTAAAAATGCCACTTTGGCTGCTGTGTGTAGAAGATGTGGAGAGGGCGAGGGTGAAAGCAGGGAGCACGGTGAGGAGACTGGTACAGGGGCCCGGGCACCAGATGACAGTGGCTGGGACAACGGTGGCAGCGGTGATTAGGTATGAAACATCTTGAAGGCAGAATCTGCAGACTCTGGGGGATGACAGGGAGAAGAGGAAGGAAGGATAACTTCATAGTTTCTGCTAAGCCAGTTGGATGAGGGTGATGGCATTTGCTGAGGTGAGGAAGAAGTTAGGGAGGTGGGAAAATCACACATTTGAACTGGGGCATGATGGGTTTGAGATATCTAGTAGACATCTAGACAGGCTATTGTATATTGGAGGCTGGAATTCTTGGGGAGAGGTCCCATGTAACTTGGGAGTCCCAGGCATAAGGTGTCAGTGAAGCCACAGGACAGCATGGGGTCTTAGGGAGGGAGTGTAGACAGATGAGAAATCAGATGGCCAAGGCAGGAGGCAGATGAGGAGCTGCCAGAGGGGGTGTGAAGGAGAGGCCAGTGAGGCAGGAGGAAGCCATGAGCCAGGGGAAGAGGATGTTTCCAGGCAGAGGGAGTGATCATCCTGGACCGGTAGGATGAAAGCTGAGAACCCCATTAATTTGATGACCTGGAAGTCACTGGAAACTTTGAGAAGAGAGATCTCAGAGGACTGGTGGGGACAAGTGAGGAAAACCAGAGAAGACCAAGTGGAGACAGAGGGATAGACAGACAACTCCTCGGGAATTTTGCTCTCAAGGGGTGTAGAATGAAAGGGCAGCAGCTGGAGAGGGCGATGGGAACAGAAGGGGCCTTTAACAGAACTCTTCCAGCAGGGGGAGGACAGCACCATGTCCTAGAAGCAGAGGACAGGACCAGCAACCAAGTGGAGGGTGGATGACTGTTCTTCACCCCAACACTCTCCTGTGCTCCATTTTCCTCACCGCCTGGGGTAGCTGCCTGGGCTGAATGCTGGGGGCAACGTGAGGACTCTGAGGACACCCACACTGGAAATGCAGCCTACTCTGGAGTGGGGTGGAACAGCCCATCTCTGACACTGTGTGGTGGGTGGTGAGGGGGGGCTCGCAGAGCTGCGGGCTGCTGACTCTGCCTGGAGTTAGATGGAAGTGCGGGCAGGGCCCACAGGTCAGGCTCACGGCACAGCTAAGGGCCCCCTCCAGCTCCCTCTCCTCCTGCCATTTCTTTTCTGGCTTCGG